TAACAACTCAGTAAACAACAGATGTTGGCGAGGATTCGGAGAAATCCTTGCTGCACTGTTGGTGGGAATGCAAGCTGGTACAGTCACTCTGGAAAACAGTAGGGAGATTCCTCAAGAAGTTAAAAACCAAGCTACCCTACAACCCAGCAATTGCACTACTAGGTATTTACCCAAAAGATACAAACATTGTGATCCGAACGGGAACCTGCACCCCAATGTTTATAGCAACAATGTCCACAATAGCCAAACCATGGAAAGAGCCCAGATGTCCATGGACAGATGAATGGATAAAGAAGAGGTGGTGTATATATATACAATGGAATATTACTCAGCCATAAAAAAAAATGAAATCTTAACCATTTGCAATGACATGGATGGAACTAGAGGGTATTACACCTGAAAAGGTGTACAAAATAGCGAATTGCCATGTAACTCAATAATTCCAATCTTGGGTATTTAGCCAAAGAAAATGAAAACACCAATTCTTTAATTATTTTTTAATAAGATGTAGCTATTTTAAAATATGGAATTTAAAGGGTGCCTGGGAGGATCAGTCAGTTAAGCGTCTGACTCTGATTTCAGCCTGGGTCCTGATCTTAGGGTCATGAGATCGAGCCCTCTGTTCGGCTCTACACTTTCATGGAAGCTCCTTGAGAACCTCTCCCTCTTCTTCTGCCCCTCCCCCTGCTCTCTCTCTCTCTCTCAAATAAATAAATTAATAAAATCTTGAAAATATGGAATTTAAAAGAGAAGAAACAGCAGCCCCCAACATCGGGAGCCTGTCTGACACTGACAGCTGGGCCCAGTGTGGTCAGAAGCTGGCTAATGCCCACCACTTGGCCATATTCTTCTCCTGTGGGACATAAGCCAGTCACCTCACAGAACATCAGCATCAGACAAGGACACTCGGAAACCATGACATCACTTTGTGTCATTAGAGACAAAACAAGGCACTGTACAACCCACAAAATACCAAGTACCTCTGTCTGTTGGCTAATGTGAGCAATTGCTGCTTCTTTACCATGACTGCTTTATCCTCACTCTGGTCTGGCCTGCCTAGAGAGGAGATTCATTGAGCTGCTCAACCAAAGAATTGCCCACACGTCCTTACAACACACAATCAGGAGTGAGTCCCAGCTTCCACAGATCTTCTTCAAAAACACCCACCCAAAATGGAACTAGAGAGTATTATGCTAAGCGAAATAAGTCAATCAGAGAAAGACAATTATCATATGATCTCACTGATATGTGGAATTTACGAAACAAAACAGAGGATCATAGGGGAAGGGAGGGAAAAATAAAACGATGAAATCAGAGAGGGAGACAAACCATAAGGGACTCTTAATCATAGGAAACAAACTGAGGGTTGCTGGAGGGGAGGGAGGCGGAGGGATGGGGTAACTGGGTGATAGACATTAAGGAGGGCATGTGATGTAATGACCACTGGGTATTATATAAGACTGATGAATCACTGACCTCTACCTCTGAAACCAATAATACATTATATGCTAATTAATTGAATTTAAATTTTAAAAATGGAAAAAAAGAAAAGAAACTGTCAAAAAAAACCCCAAATACAAAAACAAAAAACACCCATCCAAAGCCCATATCCTTATAGGTTCCAACACCTTCATATTAAGATGCCCCATGGCCCACAAAGGGGCGTGTTCTTTCTCACTGCAACAAGTAATAGATCCAACCTGAATGCCCACAGGTGCTCCTGGTGGTCTTGGGCTAAAGAACATTGAAGCATGTTACCCTTTTGTCTGCCACAATTGTTTTCATGTCTTCTAGTTTGATCATGACATGTGTTTGTATCTTTGCGAGTGTGTGGTTGACATGCCAAAATTTCATGTTTTTCTTTATGGGTTTTCATCATTGGGGCCATGCTTAGAGAATTCTTCATCTCACACTTGTAAACATTTCATGTATATTTTCCCCTCAGTAGAAATGAAGAGCAGAGGGTTTCAAAGGTGAAGGGAAAAACAGAGAATTGTCTGAATTTGGGCAAAAGTATGGGGAGGTGAAAGAGGTAAAAGTTTCTAAGCGGGAGGAATCTAAGATGTCCATCTTCTGCTTTATTTTTGCAAGTATGTACAGGGCCTCCAAGGTATCTGATATATGTTGTGTTCAATAATGTTCTCACTTGGGCTCATTGAAGACTTATGTGCCTCCTATTGAACGCAAACACCAACAAGACACCCAAACTTTATAGACACATCAATTAGCTCCAGTGATGGGCATTTTTGAACACTTATGACCTTGACGTAAAACATCATGTTTTGGTTAATGCCTGTAAACTTTAGCTGTTACAATGCATATCAATTATACTTTCATGCTGTATTTTAAGCATATGTCTCAGACCCACATAGACAAATCCATGACTTCCATTTGAAGATAAATTTCATATACATATACCTATGAGTCACACAGTATCTTTTTTGAGGAGAATCCTGAAAACTAAGAGCGTTCTAGATATATACTGTCTGAATGGTAGCTCTATGAGCCTCATACGGCTACTTAAATTCCTATTCATTTAAAACAATTAAAAATGCCACTGCTCAGCACACTAGCCACATTTCAAGTGCCACCTGCATTTCAGTAACCACATGTAGCTCGTGGCCACCATACTGGACAGTGCAGATACAGAAGAATTCCTTCCGCACAGAATGTTGTATTGGACCGTACCGCTCTGCATGCTTTCTGGACCTCAAGCCAGATGCATTAGACACATGTAAACTGAAAAGACCAACATGATTTATCTTACAGATGACATCAGATTCTGTCTGGGATGTGAATACATATGGGGCTGGTGTGTCACAAAATCAAAGTCGGTTATGCATGGGTCTGGTGCCTTTAGGCACAAACTGTTCCCAGTTACAAAAGGGAAATCCCTGTCCCTCCAACTCCCTTCCCAAACTGAGCACCCTCTCTGGCACCACATTTCCAGGAGGCGAGTTCTCTTCTAGATGCACTCAGGGGCTAAAGTCAGGGCTGAGTTTTCAGAGGCAGGAAGTGCAGCTCAGGGAAAGGGATTCTACTGAGTGAAGAGGAAGCTTGCTCGGTCAGAAGAGCATGTGACTGTTGATCCCAGGGTCATGAGTTCAAACCCCACATTGGGTGTAGAGATCACTAAAAATAAATAAACATTTAAAAAAGAAAGAAAGAAAAAAGGAAAATGGCAAAAGAATCCGCTCCCATCCTGCCAGTTTGGTGTCATTGTCCTGACAACCTCAGCTGGCATCGTGGAGCATGAAGAAGCAAGCTGAAAACACACAGGAGGGAAAATCTTGGGATTCTTTTTCTAGGGATGTAATACACACGTGTAAATAAAATGCCTCAATGGAAAAAAAACAAAAAAACTAGTATCACTTGAAAACATCCTGGTTGAAGCATTAAAAATTATCTTACTAAATTATTCTCAAATCCACATTTTAAACATGTCTTATATGATGGTGTGGGATGTACAGCATATCCCTAAGCTCCCAGGAAAATAATTTGCATGAACTTAACTGGACTGGGGTTGTTTTTGTTGTTGTTGTTGTTGTTACAAAATGCCATTTTTACTTGAAGGAATGAATGACACAGAAACTTGGATTATTTAGGATATTTGGCCGACAGTTTCTTGAAAATGAACATGACCCTACCCCTTCATTAAAATCAACTCACACATGACAGCTGACAGTACTTGTTGCCCTGATTAAATGTAAACTCTCAAGAGAAAACCAGAATTTTGGAAAACTTGTGATCCACCAATAAGCTTGACAGCTTCTCCCTACTGACAAACTTTCCTGTCAGGATCTGTGATAATAGTAAAACAAATGGGATGTTTTGATAACTTGATTCCAGTCTAATAAACATGGGAACAACACATTGCTTTAAGACAAATCAAGTTTTAGGGACGCCTGGGTGGCTCAGATGGTTAAGCATCTCCCTTCGGCTCAGGTCATGATCCCAAGGTCCTGGGATCGAGCCCCACATCGGGCTCTGTGCTCAGCAGGGAGCCTGCTTCTCCCTCTCCCTCTGCCTGCCTGTCTGCCTACTTGTGATCTCTCTCTCTCTGTGTCAAATAAATAAATAAAAATCTTAAAAAAAAAAAAAGACAAATCAAGCTTTAGTACAAGATCCATTCAGTATGCAAGCTGGGCCCATGGATTTTAATGTAACAAAGAAGGACATACTCAATGATACTGTTTCAGGTGCCACTTTGCAAATAACCTTACAGAAAGTATAACTTGTGTAGTTGTAATATAGTATCAAACATGACTATCCATAATTATCTGAAAAGGTTAGGAAACACGCTATTCTCCCATATTTGTGCAAGGCTGTTAATATTTTCATATACTTCAACCAAAACAACACTATAAATGCAGAAGCAAATCTGAACATCCAGGGGTCTTCGAAGGAGACAGACAAGAACAAGAAAGAGACTTGCAAACTGGAAAATGTAACAAAAATCCACTTTTCTCACTGCCCTGTTTACTGGGGGAAATATTTTTCATAAAAGCAATATTTCTGTTATGTCAAGGGTTATTAATGTGATTCTAAATGAATTAATACATGTTTAACCCTGTTTTATTCCTACTATGGTAAACACTGATAGATATAACCCACAGATGCAAAATTATCCTTGGGATCCTCCGTAATTTGTAAGACCATAGAGATATCCTGTGATCATAATTTTTGAGAATCACTGACTCACACAAACCTGGGCCACGACTCAGGGAGACAAGGTGACGAAGAGCGCACTGTGCAGTAAGCGAGGGATCGGGGCAAAGTCGCATTTCCCCGGGAAGGCCTGCCTGTCAACAGCGGTGTCTGGGGCTGGAGAGTCCCCCCTCTCCCTGGGTTTCACGTCTCACTCCCACAACGCGTCAGGTCCTCCCGCCGGGATACTAGTGACGCGACCGCAGTTCGCAATCCCATTGGGTGTCGGGTTTCTGGAGAACCCAATCAGCGGCACCGAGATTCCGGGTTCGAAAGTCCTGACCACACCCACAGGGACGCATCTACTCCTCAGACCCTGAAGGTCTGGGCCATGGGGCCCCGAACCGTCGTCCTGCTGCTGTCGGGGGCCCTGGCCGAGACCGAGACCTGGGCGGGTGAGTGCGTGGGGCGGGAGGAAAGGGCCTCTGCGGGGCCGGAGCGAGGGGAGCTTCGGGCGGGGACGCGGGATCCCCGGGAAGGCGCCTCTCCGCCACCCCCCTCCCCGCCCCGGCCTGTGCTCCCCCGTCCCTCCCCGCCTCCGCCCTGCCCTCCCGGCCGCCTGCACCTGCGCCCCGGGCCCAGCGCCCCTCCGAGCCCGCAGGCTCCCACTCCCTGAAGTATTTCCACACCGCCGTGTCCCGGCCCGGCCGCAGGGAGCCCCGCTTCGTGGTCGTCGGCTACGTGGACGGCACGCCGTTCGTGCGGTTCGACAGCGACGCGGCGAGTCGGAGGATGGAGCCGCGGGCGCCGTGGGTGGAGCGGGAGGGGCCGGAGTATTGGGACCGGGAGACGCGAAACGCCAAGGGCCACACCCAGCTTTCGCGACGGAACCTATGGATCGCTGTCGGCTACTACAGTCAGAGCGAGGCGGGTGAGCGGCGCGGGGTCGGGTCCACGTCACGAACCCCATCCCCACCGACGGGCCTCGGTCGCCCCGAGTGTCGGGGTCCGAGCGTCACACCGAGGCTGCGGAGCCCACCCCGCCCCGACCTTGGAAGAGCCCGCCGGAACTTTTAAGCGGTTTTACTTTGTTTGGACTTCGTCGTTTGTCCACCACCAGGGGTGGTGACAATCTGAGAGCTGACCGCGCGGGCGGTCTCACACCCTCCAGGGGATGTTTGGCTGCGACTTGGGGCCGGCCGGTGTGGCCGAGCACGGCAGCAACTACGCTCAGAGCGAGTGCGTGAAGTCGCTCCGCAGGCACCTGGAGAAGGGGAACCAAACGCTGCAGCGCGCAGGTACCAGGGGCCGCGGGGCCTCCGGGATCTCCCCTCCACTGGGGCTGGCTTCCCACCAGGAGGGGAAAGTGGACTCAGTGTCAGAATACCACCTCCCCCATGGGTGGGGAGAAGGAGATCAGCCTCCGTGTTCATGTTCCTACTATTGAGTGACTCACCCAGAGGGCCGCTTTCTCTATAGGACAATTGAGGAATCCAGTCTCTCCCGGGAGGCAGGTGGAGACCATCAGCGGTTCCTTTTGACCCTAACAGCCACCTTGTGAACCTTGACTTAACCTCCATCTGAGAATATCTCTGTTCTGCGCCTGAGAACATCTTTGGACATCTGACTCCAGGTGTTCTGACTCAATCACCTGCCACCATTGTCAGGACCAACAGTGTGCTCTCCCCCTTAGACCTACAGCGTCCTACCCTGGGCCATCTCCCTGATTCTAGAATTTTCCAAGGATTAGGAGATCCCAAAGGCTAGGCTGGTGTCTGGGTTTTGTGCTTTTTTCATCTGAACCAAGTGCCCTGTCCACCTCAAGATGGTCAAATGAATGCTGTTTCAGTGGTCCATAAAGGTACACCCAAGTGTGGATTTCTGATTCTTCTTCCTCAGAACCGCCCAAAACACATGTGAGCCATCACCCCATCTCTGACCATGATGTCACCCTGAAGTGCTGGGCCCTGGGCTTCTACCCTGCACAGATCACCCTGACCTGGCAGCAGGACAGGGAGGACCTGACCCAGGACACAGAGCTTGTGGAGACCAGGCCTGCAGGGGATGGGACCTTCCAGAAGTGGGCGGCTGTGGTGGTGCCTTCTGGACAGGAGCAGAGATACACGTGCCATGTGCAGCATGAGGGGCTGCCCGAGCCCATCATGTTAACATGGGGTAAGGAGGGGTTTGGGGTAGAGCCTCTTCTCAGGAAACCTTCTGGAGAATTTTGGCAAAGTGTGGACTCAGGCTACAGGTCTGGGCCCCTCACCTTCCCTTCCCTTTCCAGAGCCACCTACTCAGCCCATCATGGGCATCATTGCTGGTCTGGTTCTTTTTGTGATCACTGTGGTCATTGTAGCTGTGATCTGGAGAAAGAAGTGCTCAGGTAGGAAACTGAGTTTTCTTGTCCCCTTGGGGGGTTTCCTAGGTATGAGATGGCCCTGCCTTGTTACTGGGAAGTACCATCCACACACATGGACTTGCCCACTCTGGAGCTGACTACTAACATTCACTCTGTAGCAAACACTTATGAAAAGGAAGGGCAAATTTTCATCTTGGTAATTCTGGTGATGGGGACCTGATTCCCAGCAGTCAAAGGACAGAGAGGAAGGTCCCTGCTGAGAACAGACCTCCAGCGAGTCAGGTGGTTCAGTGACCACACACCTCGGTTCTTCATGTTTCCTGATGCTGTTCTGGGTTTTCAGTCACAATTCTACAAACTTCATTTTGGACCAGGGCTAGGAGCTTCCTCTAGGATCGCATGGCCCAGCCTTGTCCAGGCCTCTGACGTGATGTTTTCTTCCCACAGGTCAAATAACAAGAAACTACTCCCACTCTGCACATAAGGATGGAGGGGGTGATCCCTGAGACCCTTGGTTAGTGTAGACAGGACCCCGTGGGGAGCTCACCCACCCCATAGCTCCTGTTCTTTCCCCCAGTAGGCAATGACATTGCCCAGGGCTGTGATGTGCGTCTCACAGCAACTATAGTGAGACCTCTGAGGGCCTGATGTGGGGAGGGTTTGGGGCACTAGGGACACTTTGAGCATGCAGGGGGCTGTTGAGAATGTCCGCACTTATGTGATTGACCTAAATTTGTACATGATTGTTTTTCACAGCATGAGACCAGCTGCCTTGTGGGGCCTGAGAGATGCAAGATTTGTTCACACTCCCACTTGGTAACACCAACAACCCCTGACTTCTCTTTGTGCAAAAAGTGTCAGAAAGTGTCTGTGTTCCTATGAGCATAATGTGAGGAGGTGGGGAGAGTGGCCCACCCTGCCCACCACGCCCCCTTCCCATACTGACCTGCCTTCTCATTTCTGATGTACTCTCCTGTTCCAGCAGAGGCAGGGCTGGACCGTCACCATCCCTGTCTTTATTTTATGCTGGACTGAGTACGAATGACTTACTTCCCTATTGAAAATGAGAATCCAGATATGAGTTTGTGTTTTTTAACACTTGGCATGTGGGGTTGATGGGGTAATAAAAGAGGAGATTTGTAAAATTGAGACAGCAAATAAGCGGAAGCACTGAGAACCTTCCAGAACTTTTGTTTGCTGTGTTGAGTCTATTGCAGGTGGGGATAGGAGAAGGCTCCGAGGAGCCGAGCGGGGATGGGGCCTGTGCCCAGTCAGTGTTCAGTGCATCATGGGTATGACATGCTCACCCCTCAGCTGGGTCATCTTTCTGCTCTGTGTCCTGCCCCTTCTGTGGAAGCTTGTCTCACCAGGACCTGTGATCACAGAGACCTGTCACCAGGACCTTGTGCAGCAAGAGCTTCCTGTGACTGACAGCTTAGGCTCAGGCCCAGGTCATGACATAGCCCCCATTTTGGGTGGTTTTTTTCATTGTTTCTGTAGAGCATCAGGCCTGTTCTTGCTCTTGTGTACTTGTCCTGTTCTCCCCTGGGCGACCCCGTCAGTTACAGCAGCGGGTGTCCTTTGGGCTGTGGTTCCCACAGGCCTAATTCAGGCCCTGCACACAGGAATCTCTGTGGTATGGAGGGATGAACTTCCAGATTCATCCATGTCTTCCCCTCCCTCTAGAGCTATTGTCTGGATTATTCTTTAGATTCCGGAGATAGAGAGAGGAGGAATCTGAAAGGTTCTCATCCTTATTAAACTTCAGTTAGTTTCTACCTTCTCTGCTGCTCTGTTCTCTCTCCCTGCCCTTAGTTCAGTGATCTTAGTGCTGGCTCCGATCCAAGTGCATGGATTTATAAAGCAGAGTCTAACATGGATTTCTAGGTGGTTGGAGAAAAGGACCCGTAAAGCCTAAGTACAGTGTTTCTGAAGAGAGAACTCTGTGTGCTGTGTG